AGGTGGAATATAATCTACAACGCACTGAACAAAGGAGTAAAGGAGAGTATTTCAAGATGGAGTCAATTGTACGACACACTAACAAATGATACAGAACAGGACTCAGTTGGGAGAGACCTCAGAACACTATATCAGATAACGAGGTGACTAATCACCAAAGAAGAGAAACAAATGAAACTCTGAGCTGAAGCGGCAACCACTTGTAACTCGTCCACAAACACCACCAACAGAAGAGACAGAATTGCTAATGAACACCAATCCACACACAAGAGCGAAAATCTTGAATGCTTTAAAGCCACCTAAGGCCAGCAGGACGACCCGGCATTCCATTGGAAACAATGAAAACGGACCTGAGCGGATATCCTGACTCGACTATAACAGAAGATTTGGAGGAAGGAAAAGTACCTATCCATCAGATGAAACACTGACTTGTAAAACTACCAACGTTACGGATTAACCAACACCATCATCAATCTTAATTAACAGCTACATAATGCTATTAATGCATGCCAAGTGATTCATAGCAGAAATCTCAGAGAAAAGTGTGAAGTGTAGTCAGGCTACCTACTATCACTGATGATATTCCTGATTGTGGCGGACTAGGTCATGTAACAGACCGTGGGAGGAAGCCAGAAGACAAGAATACGTTGGACTGTAGAAGATCTGGACACAAACTTGAAGGTCTACAAGGGAAAACCAACGAGTTTGCAGAAGAAGCAGTGAAGACAAAACTTCAGGTTAACATAAGGTCTGTCTGTTTTCGACATAGAACATTGCACATATGTGCACCAGTTCAAGCCGCCACACTCTCTCCACGTAGCACACAAAGAAATAGAAGAAAGTAGAAGAAATGTAAAATAAAGACAGTAAACAGGGATATGAGACAAAAGGTGGAGTAATAACGAAGAACAAAACAGTTTCATTGGAGATCATAAGTCACAAGGAGTGGATGCATCTGCGCCACTGAGAACGATTTTGAGCCATGTCACCAATTGTGTTCAACCATAGATTATTACCGTCCCGAGGACTCCAGCCTGGAAGTCTACACTTTCCTACGTGGCTTAGACCAACTGTTGTGGATTTCATTGACTGGTGCCATGTTTTGATTTGAACGCCGCTACTAGCTCTTTTCCAGCCTGACCAATCCTATGTCAGCTAACATTCCCCGTCGAGGAAGGCGATGACTAGGCATAGGTAACACATGTCCTAACCAACTCTCTCAGTCGATGTAATTTCACAGCCTCATCGATTCATGTCCCCTCCTTACCTAGCACTCGACGCCTAACGTCAATATTGCTCACCCAGTTATACCACCTAACACGGGAGATAGAACGCAGGCACCTAAGACAGCATCAAAGACAGCCAACCAGGCTTTTCATGTCTTCCACTCTCAGTGGCCAGGTCTCACAGCCATATAGGAAGACGGAGCGGACTGATGAACACAAGTCTCACAAATAGCTGTGGACGACCGGACTGCCACTTTCCGGTGGATGATAGGATGCAGTGTGATAACTGCAACCTATGGTTTCATAAACTTTGCACTGGGTTATCACCGACACCAAGCCATCATCTCCGTGATTGTGCAAATTTTGTAGCAGCCCGTTGGACGTCCTTATCCAAGAGGCCGTTGGACTTCTTATGACCAAGAAGTTGACAAAAACTTCAGGTGAGAGGAAAAAGCCAGCATCTGGTACCGATGCCATGAATAATGATTCTACACTGAGTCATAAGACTGGAACGGAACCGCATCCCGAAGCGAAAGACACAACAGAGTTGCAGTGTGCCCAAAAGTCTGCAAAAGCACAAAAGAGCCCCGAAAATCTAAGAGGGCAAACAGTGTCAAGATTCTAAGACAGCTGGGTGATACCACAACGACGAAGCGTTGCGTGTCTGGTGAACGCACGACTACCAACTGCGCGAGAGCAAAGCGGAATTAACTGATTCTACTTGGTTTGTGCCCAAAAATTGGAAGCTCAAGAATTATAGGAAACAGAAAAGCGCTGTGCTTAGTGATAAGGTTTCAACGGCCGTGAACACGAATAGGATTATTAAACCTTCGGACTCAAATTACAGCATAGTAATTTGGAACCTGGAGGAATCGAAGAAAGTAGATCCATCTGCCCGACATGCTGATGATCTCGAGGTAGTAAGCTCCATCACCCGTGAAATACTTCCGAAGAAAACAAATGAAGTTCACATAGGGAAAGTCATCAGAATCGGTAAACGAATCGCTGATGCAGCTGTTGGGTTTTCGGGTAGTGGGGTCTCGGAAATCTATGTTGCCCAGACCTCTGTTCATAATTCGAGTGAACACGTAGGTCTCTAAGTATGCCACACGAACGCTTGTAGTCTTAGGAATTAGCTTCCTGAACTAGGAGTGTTGTCTGATGAACTACAGCCTGATGTGATTGCTATCACCGAAACATAGTTGTTAGTGGGTGTAGTCTTAACTCCTCCACTCGTATCTGGGTACATCTGCATTACAGCAGACAGAGTAAGTAGTCGGAAAGGTGCAGGTGTTGCTCTATACATCCGAGATGACATAGGAATTAGATCGAAGCTGTCGGCAGGTCATGACAGCGGCACCTGTGAAGCCACAAGCTGCGTCATTAACCTGAGCAAAGGCACTGTGACGATTGGGGTTGTTTATAGAAGTCCTACCAGCACTGAATCACCTCAGGATGTGGAGTAGTAGAAATAGGTGTCTAATAGTAGGTGACCTTAATGCCCCACATATTAATTGGGAGGAATTAACATCTACTACTTCGTACACTTTTTTCAACAGAGAACTCATACTGACAGTGCTTGAATGCACACGTGTGTAGCATATAGATGCATCAACACGATACCATCCTGAACATGATCCGTCCATTCTAGACTTAGTGTTAACACACCAGAAGGAGGATGTCGGTGACATTAGGTGCCTGGCACCACTAGGCAGTAGTGACCATATAGTTATCCCTTCTTTGTTTATGATTCAAGCTGTTATACATAGGTCAACAGCTGCTTGTCCAAACGTTTGGAAAGCGAATATACCTGCAATCCGAAATGCAGCAACCCTAGCTGACTGGTCCGTAAATATACACCAGACTGTCGAGGAGGCTTGGATGGGATTTAGGAACACACTAGATTGCGTCACTGTACCCTTTGTGCCTTGGTCTACGCCTCGAAAACTATCGCATAATCCACCTTGGATTAGTAATGCAATAAGGAAGTTATTAAGAAAACGAAAGAACTTATGGGACTGTTTTGCTGTGACTGGGAGGGATGAGTTTCGGATGGAATACCGCAAAGTTCGAAACTTTTGTAAGTATAAGACTGACAAAAGCCGTATAGTTTATGAGAGACAGTTAGTACTAGATTGTGTGAATTGTCCAAAAAGACTGTACTCGTATATCAAACGCAGGACTAAAACTAGCAGTGGTGTACCGTCCCTCATTAGTTATACTGGAGAGGCTGCCGAGTCAGACGAAATAAAAGCTGAAAAGCCCTCCGAATACTTTTGTGATATTTTCTCGCCTAATCGTACCACTCAGGGGTGTAACGAGGTCACTGATGTAACCACTAAAATAAACACAATTGTCGTAGACGATGCAGTGGTTCTCAAACTACTGTCTAAGCTGAAGCTAGGTAAATCACTTGGACCAGACGGACTTCACCCTAGATTGCTAACCTCCTTGGCGGATATAATATACATTCTAATATATGCGTAAAACTTGGGCACTGTGGAAGTAAGTAATTTCATATTAGTTTGTTTATTAGACGTATCACACAGTGAAACAGTATTGTATACTGGATGACGTATCAAACACAATTTATTGTCCATCATCATATCAATTGTGGTCACTACCCCTACGACGACAAATAGGAGAGAACAAAGAAAACTATAAAACTCAAATCTCAAAGTCGTGTGACCACAATTGATATGATTATGAACAATAAATTGTGTTCGAAACGTCATCCAGTATACAATACTGTTTCACTGTGTGATACATCTAATAAACAAACTAATATGGAATAATATACATTCCACTTACGGAGATTTTTCAAATGCCTTTGACCCAGGCTAAGCTACCCGGGGACTGGAAAGATACCTCCATCTTTAAAGAAGGGAACAGGTAATTAGTATCTAACTAGGGGGTCTGTAAGTCTGACCTGCATTATAGAAAAACTCATAAGGGATAAGCTCTTAGTTCATGTGGAGAAACGGCTTACTGGCAATGGAACAGCATGGATTCAGACCAGGACGATCCTGCTTGACAACCTTACTGTTAGCTAGGGAAGATTGGGTCGAGGCCAGGGATAAAAACTATCTACTGGACGGTGTGTGAGTGGTTTAGCGACTACCTGATGGACAGAAGGCAGAAGTTGAGGGTTAATGGTGTACTGTCAGAGTGGGAAGCAGTACTAAGTGGAGCCCTCAGGGAACTACATTAGGCTCCTTGCTATTCCTATTATACGTAAATGAAGTGCCGAAAATTCTTACCTCATCTTTCTTACTATTGGCGGAGGATATTAAGATATGGAAAACCGTAAATATCAACGATGATAGGTTGGTACTATAAAACGATCTAGATAAGTTAGCCGAATGAGCTAACCTTGGGAGTCTGGGAACTAATCCCAAGAAAAGCGCGGCAATGCACCTAGGTCAGAAGTCTTACACATCGTACTCCCTGGGGGGCACAGAACTGCCAGATATAAGAGGACAAAAGGACTTGGGAATTATTCTGACTTCACAACGTAAAAATGCCTCTCCTTCTCGAAGCGCAAACAGACATGTACACCACATTATAGACCCAGTCGTTCACGCGTTTAGAGACGTTAAGTCCTCTATACGAATTTGGAACAAACAAAAGACGCTTATAAGACAGGACTTAAGCAATTCATCACACTTCTGTAGAACTCTTCAGCTAAATACTCATCGTTGGTGGATGTGGTATCACCAGTATTACTTAGAAGAATTTTTAGGAACATATTAAAATAAGCAAAGGAAACATGACCTGAAAAGCACTCGCCCCTTTAGTTTCCCATGACATTCAATGTATATTAATTGCTTAACAAACATATCCCCCTATGTAATTCTGATGGTCTGTAACCTTCTATATAGAAGACTGAGCTGAAGCGCTTTACAGGAATTTAATGAACTGATTAGACTCGGTCTTAATAACGCCTCTTATTTATATTCATATATGTTATGTTGGCAAAATAACGCCTGACCTTGAGGTAGCACTAACATTCATATCTACCACGTTTAACATTAAAAGTCACTCTATAACTTAGTTCGTATATACGTCATTTGATTCGAAACAAAGGAAGCAGGTCTTATTAACACTTGTAACACTAGAAAGTTTGGCATTTATGGGAGAATTTATGAAAGACTTGTTTAGTTTACACACACCAAATGAATAGGGAATACTGGAGGTAATTAGATGCATACAGGCGTAGGTTATTTAACATCTATAAAGTAGACATGCAAATACCGCAGTTTTTGATCACAGAAATGATGGATACTAGATAACATCCTATGATTCAACGGCATATTAGAAATAAATAAAAATTGTTTCTTAGCTCATTGTCAAGTGAACAGTCTATTTGATGATGTCACTGCATATTAACAGATTAGTGAAGTAGCTATCAAGCCTAAGTTACTACATTTACTTGTACTACATACTTGGCGTTTAACAGTATACAGACTTGCAACTGGCTAGATAAGGCGACTTTAGAGTATCAAACAGTACAGAATTATTATTCAACTTGCTAAATCCCACTTAGCTTTTACAATGTGCTATTGTGTAGAAACAGACACGAAATCCTATTAATGACTAAAGTAACATTCTCATAATACTACAGTAAATCTCCATCCCACTAACTAAGCTTAGCGTTTATTATTCCTAATTCACTTATTACAAAAGCACATAGTATAGCGAGGAATTGAAGAAGTCTACAGGAAGAAGTAATCAAGAGTATATTAAACATTTGATTAATTTACAAAAGAAAATTCTGATGAAGGGTAATAAAGTTAGTTTGACCGAATGATGTTTCCGCTGATTTCATATTCGACAACCTCCGTATACCTGAAAAAATAAAGTACATGTTAGAACTAGCATAACATGAAGTTACAAGAGATAATTCTACATATTAGCATATACTATGAATACAATGATTCTGTTAAAACTAAGTAATATCTCATGCAGATAAATGTATTTGTAGTCTACAGCTGATATTTATGTTGACGCCGTATACATAAATAGACATCATATGTTTTCCTGTATTTGAGGATTATACGCAAATTTCAAGACAATCTCCGAAACATCCATACTATTGAGGCGTCATTCTCTCATCAAGCTTACTTGCAGATCAACTTCACACTAAACACTTTTACATGAAATGAAGTATTGCAAATGTGTAACTTAGAAATTAATCCACAATCTCAGTAATGTCTAGTCCACAAGGTTTTGTGAATCCTACAGAAATCACATTTTCACATTTAGGAGACTATAGGCATCAAATATAAGCTGAACATGCCTCAACTCTAGACAGCTATGCACAGTGCTAACAACATAGTGAAACACTTCAACTATTGTAAAGTACACAGACCTGTTGTGTTGATGAGGATAATAATGTCATATAATGCAAACTAGAAAATTCAATCGTCATAGAGCATCTGTACTGCTTTGTCTAAATGGAAATCTCAGGAGAAATTCATCTCCACTATTGGTGATCAAAAATATTGCAGCATTAAGTATACAGTCAGTGGAAATTGTAAAAGAGAATAAATTCATATTAATGATAATAAAGCTGAATAGATTCAGTTCTAGTAATCACCACGACTCATGCGTATAATCATACCGTGTAATGATTTAGTGCATTAATTGGAACAACAAGGAAACTTAAACGAGTAATTGCCTTCTCCACTGCACTGTACTTGCAATAATCGTGACAACCACCTTCGTTTGTTATCCTATCAGTCAGCTAAGTAGACAATGGCAAGATATTATTAAAGTTGAGATATTTTTGTACATTTAATTCACATAACCCATAGTACACTGCACCAATCAGTGCCAATATATATGAAATCCACTTAGAGATAACCTTTCAACTTACCATAATTCCTGTCCAACCACAGATAGAGTGGAAAGCACATCTAAATGATAACTTAGGTAGCCACAAACGATTCTGATAGCATTTGCAGTTGATTTCCAAGCATTGAGAGAATTATTTTGTCAAAAAAGCTGTTCTTCACACGAAAATAGGCTGTATTGATATCCTGAGACATGAAGTCTTCATTGAATGATACTATGCCGAAAGGTGCAGCTTTTATATGGAGTAAACGATTTGTGTGAATAGCATTACTTTCTAACTATCCTATCTTCCTCATTATCGCGATATTTTGACACAGTCCACCTGAAACACTAATCATTGCAACCAATATGCTAAAAGTGTGTCGCAGTCAGATCACATGAGGCGGACACCAACATAACTAGCCAAAAATGGGAATTTCCCTCAATCTAGATAACATATAATACAATTTTATTAAAAATTATTGGCAAAAAAAATTTCCAAGTGGAATTCAACAGTACGTGATAAATAAGTCCAGCCAACATTTCACAGAAGCAAGCAAATGACCCCTAACAAATAACTTGAGTAAATAACCTTAAAAACCTTAAGTTTTCTGATAAAATATATTTCTAAATGTTTGACAGCTTAGACAAAAGATTCTGTGTCAATCTAACATTTTATCTTAACCCTAATCCAACCCTTATACCTAACTTAGAACCCTGATATAACCCTAGAATTCATCTTATCACTAAGCCCTAACCCCAACCCCAATGCCAACATTAACCCGAAACAATTAGAGTAGATAAGTCAGATAAGCAGGAATAACTCGAGAGAAAGCTTACTCTGCATTCATGAACAACATCAGCATTTTTTATTTATAGTTTATCTCCATCCACCTTTCTAGCGGGAGGGCTGAGCTACATCTGAGCCGGAGACATTGCAGAAGGCCAGTGTAATCTAGAACTTCTTTACAACCCGGTAGAAACCGAATCGTATTCTTTTCACCATCACCATGGAGTTAATGGAAAGTAACCTATATTCGGCTAATTTTTCCACGGTAGGTTCAACTGTACCTCCAGCGCACCCCGAAGTCTGTTGGAGGTGGGTTAAATCTGAATAACACTTAGCTGTATATGGTATGGGGGGTGAACTGCTGCAACCAAAATTGTCATTCACCAAAGATGTAGCCACCTGAATGACTTCTTACATATCTTCTTTAGGCTCTTGGGTTATTCGCTAGTCTACGAGAACCTCTACCAGTTTTCGTTAATGCTCTGATCGTAGATATTTATGACTATCGAAGACCAGTTATAAGTTATGGAATAGCCAGATTTATCTTTTGAGTTATTGATTCCAATAACTGCCACTAAACCCGCATGTTCTCTGTTAGCGGTAGGATCTACCAAGTCCAAAACCTCCACTACCTGGCTCTATATTTCTGTAGTAAAATTTATATTGGCAACTGCCAATTATTGCCCCAGAATGATTTCTATCAGATAAACATTTTATCATCAGTAATGTTAGGTAGTTAAAATTTGCGGAGTTAAACTCGATTCTGACCTCACAGATACTTAAACTTAGTAAAAATAGAATTTTTACGTCTCATTCTACGTTTGACTTCCAAACAGCATCTAAATGTTAGAAAAATTTCATTCATAATAACCCCTCCTATGCAACCAAATATGTCGCATGGAATTAAACCTGCAATGTCCGGAATACTTCTCTCGGAAACAGAATTATACATCCACCTTGGCATCTGTGTCATAACGAATATGACTGCCTCAATTTCATTATATCTCATTTAATAATAATTTATACTTTGTAAACTTACCCGTTTAAACGAAATATAAATTATTATTGATAAATGAGGTATAATTAAATTAAGGTAGTCATATTCATTAACGGATCATACAATTTAGCAACCTGACTTCTTTCAAGCTTTTAGAGGCTGACGGTACTGAAGTTCATGGATATTACGAAGTATACTAACTCAAGATTTAACGCCCACAATTTCTATGATGTTCGTTTCACGTAGACCAAAGGCAAACCAAAACGCCAGAATTGACCGCCTGAATTACGAATTATATTTCGGGACCTAATCGGATTGTGATATGAGTGCTTAAATAGCTAGGGATCGTGCACGAACGAACGAACGTGACACGACAGCGTACCAAATGGTGTCGATGCTTGACCGGAAGCCTCCAGCTAAACGAGCCGACGTAAACAGTGATGATCAGCATCCTATGTCCAGAGATGAGTGCTATGGTCAATATTTCCGGGGAACTACCTATCACTACAGCTCACTCCCTCTCTAATTGGGTTGTGAGGACCCTAAGACAAAACCACAGGGAACCAACAATAATAATAATTTATATTTCGTATAAACGGGTAAGTTTACGAGTAAAATAGACACTGGACTTCCCATCAGTATAAACTCTTCCGATCGGCCTACTGGTCGTCTACCTATGCTGATAGGGTGTCCGTACATCGTTACGTTGATGTTTGTCCGTTGGATTTCCTGTCTCGCTTGCTTCTTGTCTAGTCCCCGTCGCGCCTGTTAAAGAAAACAAGAATGCTAAGAACACTGTCGAAGAAGTTGTACTAAAAGTAACGTTCGGAATATGATATGCATCTACCATACAGTAAAATACTGCGAAAGATAGAATATCGAAAAAAGCATATATCTAATTTTTAGTGGATGAAACATATATGGTTATAGAAAAGTTTTTGACCTGTGTTGCGGGATACAATATATTAAAATTGATGTGTCTGAAAGAAAAAAATTAAACAAATAGCACAAACGAACAAGAGTTGTGTGAATCGTATCACTTAGTTGTGTAGTAGTAGGAAGATATACTAGCTATCTCACGTTTAGACTAGAAGGCGTTTCCTTTGTGGGCTCGATAGAAGGTCCGGTGGCTTTCGCCACTCCAGTGATTTCTACGGGGACTAACGGATATTTGGTTACTTGTGTTGTCAACGTCCAGGTCTCACTACGCTGGACCTCACGCTATCCCTGGAAGACTTTCAGAGACAATATCTAACAACCAACACGAAAAGCCAGAACACTGATTGGCGACTCAAGAATCCTATATTCTTACGCCAATATGTAACCAACAACAAAGTTATTATACACAAA